ATTCGATGAACATGGAGAACGACAGGCCCCTTAGGGAAGCCACAGACCAACTGACGGACCCAGAGCTCCGAGATCATCTGTTCGATTCAACCGTTCTTCCTACCTCTATTACGGAGCAGAGACGTGGCTTGACACAGTGGCACGTACCGAAGGCTCTCCACAACCCACGGAAAGTGAAAGAGTCTTCTGAAGTGCAACCGACGCACTTAACATCTCGTCGGACTTCTTAGTTCAGATATGAGTGAATGTCTTGTCTTCGTGTCCAAAGGAATACGTCTCTAAGGCAAAACATTAATGGACTGATCATATGATGAGAAGGACAGACGATAGATGGACACTAAGAGCTGTACAATGGATCCCTCGCGAAGCAAAACGTCCTCGAGGAAGACTACCGACCAGATGGGCTGACGTTGCACGGACCAGCTGAATTCTCAGCTGGTAACAAGTATTGGATCTGGACCTCGCGTATGTCGCCGCCGTAGTCCAATACCAATATCGTGGATGACGTTAGCGAGAGGCAGAGATGGATGGAAACAATGCTGGGGTCTGCACGACAAGTGAAGACAGACCATCTAAGTATCTAGATAAGTAGAGTTTTTAGCACAAATCCCAGAATTCTCTGTCTGGATCGACACCTGTTTCATATTGATTAATCAGTGAACCATCGTACAACTTCTGTAGCGTTCAATCGCTTGCTGAAAAAGAAGTTCAGGCCAGAATAGTCTGAACATGGAGCGCGTCCCAAATCTGCTCGGTGGATGTTGTTCGAAGTGGATCATTTTCCTTTTGCTTGAACAGCGACGAGTTGCCTCATACTTGACTCAATGATACCTATTTCACACCTACTTATTTATTTCTGAAGTTTCCATTCAAAGCAGATGCGTATGATGGTACTGCGATGATGCAGTGCCTCCATTCAACTTCATAAATGAAGAAGGATTTTTCTAATTTCCTTCAAGATTCATCTTTAGAGTTCAAAAAGCTAGCGAAAATATTGATAAAGGGAAAGCTTTGAAGATTATCGATAACAGACGTTTCTCATCTTCTTCAAAGCCATTTCATTTTCCCTAGTTCAGAAAATCTAAATTCCGAGATATAACAAGTACTGTTTTCGGCTCCTAATCAAGGAAAATAATAAT